ATACCCATTATTAAACCAACCACTGTGGCCACCAGAATATAGTAATCTTATCGGCCAGGTGGGAGTATGCCCAACCCATGAGCCATGTGACAAAATGTGAGAGAAGGCTGATTTCTCAAAGGAAATTTAAAGTGCTAGCATCAGGAAAGGGAGAACAGAAACAAAGGAGGCAAAACACCAGAGGCCCCTGTTCATACAATAGACACTGAATGTGACAATTTACCACAAAGGCAACGAAGCCTGAACTTCTGGGAACCTCACTGCATATGCTCCTTCTAAGGCCATGTATCTAATTTTGTTTTTAACTTTTTGGATTCTTTTTCTTAAAGAAGAGCTCCTAAATTATATAAACTTTAGGACCAACAAATCCTGGAACAGCACCTAATAAAAACACTCAAAAATATTTGTAAAATCAATAAATAAGAGTTCCCAATATATTGTACTTCCTCTTGTTTTTAGTGGAAATAAACCATTTCGTACATAGTTTATTCACTAAATTCTTCACAATAACTTAATCCCTTTGGACACTAACAGAAAATAACTTGATTATCCCCTTCAGATCTCCCCAGCGCCTCAGAACTCAGCATCTTAATGTTTCTCTCTTTGCCTCTGTCACAGACCCACAAAGGTTAAAGTCCTTTTTCATTTTTTTTTTTTAATATGTTTTTTATTGATTTCAGAGAGAGGAAGGGAGAGAGAGACACACAAACATCAATGATGAGAGAGTCATTGATCGGCTGCCTCCCGCACGCCCCCTACTGGGGATCGAGCCCACAACCCCGGCCTGTGCCCTGACGGAAAATCAAACAGTGACCTCCTGGTTCATAGGTCAATGCCCAACCACTGAACCACGCCTGGCCGAGAGGTCCTTTTTCAGTTTTACTCCTCCTTGAACTACTCCCAGGTGAAACCTGCCTCCCAGTACCTCCTTTGGTGAGAGGCCAGTCCAGTTTGAGACATGCATCTCTGGGTCCCACTGTGGTTTCTTACAGCAGCAACCGAAGAAACCCACCAAGATGCTCATATTCACTCTAAACTAATACTCATTTTCTTAAAATTCCAAATCAAAATGAATTCTCTAAAATTGCCATAGAGAAAGCATGGACATCAGGTGGATCTTATATTGGAGTGAAACTAGGATGTGACTCAGGTTAAAGCCATATACCTATAGAGGATCCATGATTGGTGTTGTGGCCAAACTGGGTCTGGATAACCAGAAAACAAGCCCCTGTTGGGATTTCCAACTGCATTGCCCTTCAATTTGGCAGCCCGGCAGCCCCAGGAATGTAAATTCATGCTGCTTCCAATGTGGGGGAAGGTGAGGGAACTGAGCTTGCCTGCTGCTATTCTGATTACAGCATTTGTCCCTGGGAGAGGCTGCTCTGGGATGGATGATATTTTCCTCCCTTCTCAAGAAAATGGCTTGGGCTGCATATCTGGGAACCAAGGGGCACCTACAAATGACAGCTTCTGCTTAATCCCCAGCAGATTTCCAAATCTGTAGTCCTTCAGATGCGGCACTGACTTTGACCCGTTTATCCCCTCCCTCCACCTCCTGCAAGAAATATGGCATAGAAACCGTGCAGCGCAGTTGTGTTGAGGGGATTTTTTTTCTTTTAATTTGTTGAAATTGTCTCTAGGCAGAAGGGGTGGGGAGTGGGGGCTGGGGGATGGGTCAGAAACCAGATGGTTGTAGCTGGAGTAGAAAGCTACTACTGAGGAGCTTTGAGATGCTCAAATCTGGTGACAGTCACTGTTTCCCTGCAGGGAAGGGATGGTGGCAAAAGGCAACCAGGAGCCTGGCCTCCAGTGTTCTGTTTTCCCCACCCTAGGTCCACACATGTGAAAAATGCAGCCCCTTTTCCTCTCTCTAAAGTACCACCTCCGGCTGAGCAGGCTTTTCTTTAAGTTTGGGGAGTGGGGTAATTAGTGGCAACAAAAGGGAGGTCACAGGACTTAAATAATTTACAAATGATTATTACCTCTCCTTCCTTAAATCCTCTTAGCACCCCCACCTTCCTCCTCAGCATCTCGACCACTCACTAAATCCCAGCAAATCCCACCAACTCACCTAATGTGTTCCTCAACCTCCCCTCTCTATACATGAGACACAGAAAGAAAACTGGGGTCAAGGGAAAGAGGAACAGAGAGTCGACTAAGAGTTAACCTTTTCTGTCTTCCTATATCTGGGGAGACTGGCCAGCTGAAGAGCCCTTCATCCTGGTCTCTGGGCCGTCTGTCCGGGCCATCTGAACAGCTGGCAGACAGCAGCGCACCAAGGTCTAGGGCTGGAGCTGATACCTCCCTCCCCACTCTGTTAGGGGAAACTGACTCTCAGTTTTTTGTGAAGTAATGTGCAAATACATCTGAGTAGCCATCAGATATCCACTTGTTAGGATTTTTCCTCCCCAACCAAGCACATGGTGTCTTTTTCAGCACTAGTTCAACTCTCCAACACCGAGGTGTCCTACAATTAATTCAATCCAGTTCGATTCAATCCAATCCACAGGTTTAAGGGCTCAGTCCCACAAGACTGCCCTCACTTCACAGACTAATCACAAGCATCAAGTCCCCAGGTTACCCACAATTTTATCCGACTTGGCTACAAAGTCAGGGGTTCCCACATACCCCCCTCATATGTGATAATTTGCTAGAATAACTCACAGAACTTGGAAAGCGCTTTCTTTACCTGTTATTATAAAGAATACAACTCAGGAATAGCCAAATGGAAGAGACGCATAAGTCAAGGTATGGGAAAGGGGACACAAAATTTCCATGCCTTCTCTGGGCAAGGCGCCCTCCCAGCAACTCCATGTCTTCAACCCAGAAGCTCCCCAAACCCCATCAATTAGGGGTTTTATGGAGATTTCACTGTGGTTTTTCATATTAAATCAATCTCCAGCCCCTCTCCCCTCCCCAGAGGTTGGGGGATTGAGCTGAAGTTCTAGACCTCAGGTCAAGGCTTGGTCTTTCTGGTGACACGAGGCTTACCACCTTTATTACTTACTCATGGAATGCCAAGGGTTTTAGGAGCTCTGTGTCAGGAACTGGGGACAAAGACCAAGCATTGTTCTTATTATACCACACCACCCCCATTATGTTTACGTAGCTTGTAAAAAATACATAGATCCTAACGCTTCCTCCTGGTGTTAGCCTTCCTGGCTGTACCTGGCTCTCCCTAACTGTGTATTCTCCGTATCCCACTACAAAGTTGACCAGGAACCTCTGATTAGCTCTTCGTTAGGCTTTTATTTGTTCCCCAGTGGCAGACCTCTTTATCTGTCCCCTCCAAATGAACCATTCAGGGCAGTCAGCATTTGCCAGGCATCGGAACTGAATGTCCACTTGGCCTCCCTTCCCGCAGAAGAAAGGGGCTGCCAGTGGTAAGGATGGACTTTAGTGGTCCAGGAACTCACTCCCACCCTCTTTCGTGCAGGTCCCTGGGTCACTGGTGTCCCATAAAGGAGAAGTCATTCGGAGTGGCTAGGGAGGCCTGTTGGCTCTTACTTGTCCAGGTCTCTCCTGGGAAACTCTCAGAGCCGGGGGACTGAAAACTCTGCAATGCAAAGCCAAAAATTTCACTAATTAAAACAGGATGCGATGAAGACCAGTTTGACTGATGGCCCGAGCGCCTTCTGCCCCACTGGCTTCCTGACCCCCCTCCTCAAAGACAAACAGCAGAAACAGCACCACAGCAGAACCCCTGGAGACAAAGCTTCCCTCCTGCCTTACATCTCCCTTTGGAAGTAAAAGCCTCGCTCCCTCCTCGCCTTGAGCTCTGATCGTCCGAGAGCGAGGCCTCGAGCCCGCACTAGTTGATCTGCAATCCCTGTTTTCGGTCCCAGCATGTGACAACGTGCTCCACTCCGATGACACTTTTCGTTTCTAATAATAGAGCAGATGAAGTAATATTGCAATTGATGTTCCGGGGGATGTGATTGGATAAGTGCATAAACTGTGGAGGCGAGGAGGTTGCCTGGACGGATCACATTAGCGGCCCCGTCCTATCCACGCGCAGGACAGCGCACCACGTCAGCCGGACCGATTCCCCGCGTCCGCCAGTCCCGCCACCGGTTCATTTGGGATCCTCACCCGGACGGGCCGTGGAGACGAGGGATCGAGGCGGCCCATTAGAGCCAATTGCCCGCTCCGGGGACGGCCAGCCCTTCCAGGCCTGGCGACGGGGGAGGGAGGGAGGGAAGACGCTGGAGCTGGAGCGACGCCCCCGCCCCCCACCTTGCGGCGCAGGCTTTGAAAGCGGCTCCCTCTGAATGGAAACTCCGAGCCGCCGGGAGGCGCGTTCCTTCTCGCCCAGCCCGGCGGTCTATGCCGAGGGGAAGGCGGTGCGAGCCTG